CGCCCCGCCGGTGGCCGCCGGCGTGCCCGAGTCACCGAGGGACAGGGAGGGCGCGAGATGGCGGCAGAAAGCGATCCGAGTGCGGCCCCAGCAACCGGGATTGCGCCTTCGCCGTCCACCGCCACCCCTCCCGAAATACAGAAGGAAAAAGCAACTTTTGTCACATGCCTACTGGGCTTTCATTTCATGTCGTTTCTGGTATTTTCAGCTTTACTTGGGGAACCATCCAGAGCTGCTCACTGCATGAAGGTCAAGTGTTCCACTGTGCACCTGGGTTTCTTTTCCAGAAGAGTTGAAAGCATTGCTGGTGCCGGCGAGGGTCAGAGGAGGCAAGGGCCCTGAGAAAGGAGGGGCATGGGCTGGCGGGGAGCCCCAAACTGGGAGCCGGAGGCCTGGGCACCAGACGACAGCGCTTAGCACTCTGGTCTCGTTTTTACTCACCTGTAAAAGGGGATTAAAACGCCTGTTCTGCCCACCCTTGGGGTAGAAGGGAGTAATATAACTGGTCAAGACATTGTTCCGAAATAAAGACAACACTGTCTTTATATAAGTGGCACGGCGTTATTGTTTATGATGTGCCCCAGGTCACTGAGAGACCCATATTCAAGCCATCTGGGCACGAAAGCACATTTTGGGAGTTACCGTGTAGGTGCCAATAAACCTAATGTATAGAAAAATACTTAAAAGCACCCGAGTGTTTGGTGGATGGAAAACCTTGAGCTTTAGAGCAAGTTCAGAGTTGGACAGTCTAAGAATATAAGAGCCCTCCCATCCATTCGAAGGGCGTGGTAGCAGCTTCTGTGATGGATCCAGAAACTCTCAGGTTCCAAATAAAACTTTCATAAAACAGCATCATTTGTACTCTTTTTATAAAATTGCAAAACCAAACAAAATAAAAATGTATATATACCTGTCCTACAAGGCAAAGGGCAAATGAAACCTAATGCATAGAAAACAGTTAACAAACGGTGAGACACTGATAAACAAGTTTGTTCTCACTTGTAAGTAAAGCACTCGGGAGTGATGGTGAACTCCAGGTCCCAAGGTTGAAAGGTTGACTCCTGAGCCTGGTCAGGGTCTGGAAGTAGAAGCACCACCTTAGGGGACTTTGGAAGGGTTGTAGTCTGCTTCAAGACTGTAGCACCAGTCTCCAAAGTAGGCTGAGCTCCGGACTCTTGCTGGGATGGGGGTTTGTCTTCTAAAGTGGACTTTGCAGAGGAGCTGAGACCTTGTCAGTTGCAGATGGTTCAATCTGATTAGGGGGTTCAGAAGTTACCAAAACCCTCAGGTCCACATCTTTAACATTGATAGGCACTAATGTTGAGCTTCACCCGAACCTGGAGTTGAGACTTGTCACCTCATGACTGATGATTTAGCTGTGACATCCTCATTGGATTTTGGACGCTGAGCTTGACCCTTCTGCTCAACTGAAGGTTGGAATGATAGGGGGATGGAGGTCAGCAGCTCAGCGTCCAGGGACAACTCAGGAGGCTGAGCTGTCTGGACTGGCAGCCAAAGCAGCAGCTACTTGAACAGGAGCTGTGGGCCCACAGGTGCAGCCTGGACATGAGAGGCAGAGGCCTGGGGCGCAGCGAGTGACCCAGGCATGTGGGGCACAGTAAGTGACCCAAGAAAGAGGGGCACAGCGAGCCACCCAGGCCCGAAGCACGTGAGGTAGAGCTGAGCTCTTCTGCCTGGTTGAAAATACAACATATTTAGGGAGGTTCTGGAGTTATGATGATCCCCACGTTTAAAGATTGAACTGTGACTTTAGTCAATGTTGGTTGCTGAGCCTGAACAGGCTCTGGATGTGGAAGTGTCACCTCAGGGAGCTTTGGAGGAGCTGTATTGTACCACAGGGCTGTAGCATCAGCCTCTGAACTAGGCTGAGCTGCAGTCTCCTGCTAGGATAGAGGTTCGACCTCTTCAGTGGACTTTGGAGGATGAGCTGAGACCTGGTTCTCAGTTGCAGATGGTTCAATCTTCTTAGGGGGCTCTGAAGTTATCAAACCACCAGATCCACATCTTTAACACTGACAGGCAACACTGGATGCTGTGCTTCACCTGAACCTAGAGGCGAAACTGTTATCTCATAATGTACTGAAGGTTGAGCTACGACATCCACAGAGGATTTTAGAGGCTGAGCTGGACCCTGCTGCTGGACTGTAGAAGGTTGTACACTGGCAAGAGGAACATGTGGCAGGGATGAGCTCTTCTGCTGGAGTGAATATTGTACATATTCCATGTAGGGTGGATGCTTATCTGGAACTCCCTGGTCGACTAACAAAACTTTCAATAGCTCAGAGGACACTGTAGACTGAGCTGAGGCCTCTTGTTGGGGTGGGAGTGGAGCTGAACCCTCCTGAGGGTTTGGAGAAGGTTCCATTTTCTCAGGGGCCTCTGTAGGCAGAGCTGAGGCTTCTTGTTGGAATGATAGAAGTTCAACATCTTCAGAAGGGTTTTGCTGATCCCAAAGCCAGGGCTCAGTGAGCCCCAAGGGGATGGAGGTCACCAGGACAGAGTCCTGGGCCAACTCTGGAGGCTGAGCTGCCTGGACCTGTAGCCACAACAGCTGCCATGTAAACAGGGGCCATGGGGGCCCACATGTGCAGCCAAGACATGAGAGGCAGAGGTCCAGGGCACAGCGAACCACCCAGGCAAGTGGGATCCTGGCATCACGCGCTGAGCAGGAGCCCAATAATTGGCAGCAATGTCACAATTGGCAGCTTTGTCACAATTGGCAGCCTTGTCATGCATTTGTCCCTTAGCAACCAGGCACCCCTCCCCCGCTCCAGGTTCCAACCTTTATTTAGGCAACCTTTATTAGTCTTGGGCTGAGAGTGACTGCAGAAGAGCGAGCCTTTTCCCCAGAATCACCAGGGACCAAGTGGTCCTTTTCTCCTGCAGAAAAGACAACTACCGCCCTCTGGGTCTCCCCTCCCTACATCACAGTGAGGCAGGACTTGGGCTGCACACCTGGGTGACCCCAGAGTCCAGCAGCCCAGGGATGGTGGGGTGGGGGGTGTTAAGGAAGGTGGGGAGTTGGGGGGTGCTGCAGAGCTTCCCCAGGAAGCCACAGGGCCTGGCATCCCAGGAAATTCAGAAGTGCTAGTCCAGTTCTGGCAACCTGAGTTCCTCCCCAAAGCTGAAATCTGAGAGATTCTTCCTCCCCCTGGCCATACTGCTTCCAAGACAAGTAGCTAACCTACAGAATACACCAGTTAGGGCGGTGGGGAGGGGGACACTCTTTACAGTTCTAAAATGTTGCCATTTCCTCAAAATTCTCAGCATCCAGTATCCATGTCTGATTATTTTTTTAAAAATCCTCATCTGAGGATATGTTTATTGATTTGAGAGAAACATCGATATGAAAGAGAAACATCAATTGGTTGCCTCCTGTACACACCCTGACCAGGGATCAACCCCAAAACCTAGGTATGTGCCCTAACCGGGAATCAAACCCGCGACCCCTTGGCACACAGGATGATGCTCCAACCGAGCCACCTGGTCAGGGCTCCATGTCTGATCCTTAATTCACCACTCTATTAGACAGGGGCTACCAATGAATCAGACTCCAAAATTTCTATAGATGGGGTTTTGAAGGGTAAGTCATTTTGGGAAACCAAGTGAATAACCCTATTTGGTGGTTGGTGTGCAGAGTCCAGGTGGCTGGGTGCTCCTGAGAGACTGGCTCCTGGAGCCTTGACACGCCCTTTCTCCTGCACACTTACACGGAGGTTTGAAACCAGGCCCTGGAGGGGAGGCTGGCTTAGGAGCACCCCCATCCCCCCTTCCTGAGCAGACCTCTAGCTGCAGACCTCTAGAGTCTGCCACAAACATTCGGTCTTTTGGGCCCCCTGGCTCCCTGGGACGGGATGCGGAACTGGTGTTACCCTATTCTAAGAAGAGGATGAGGCTCAGGGTGCCTGCGTTGTGGCTGCTACCAGCAGGGCTGGCTGGGACTTGCAGCCAAGTGTCTGCATCCTGGATCCAGGTTTTTTACTACTGCCTCTTAATTACTGCTCGCTGCAGAGGGCAGAGGGCAGAGGTTGCTTCCAATCTGTCTGCCCTGAAATGGCTAACACGGGGCAGGGTATATGCCAGGCCCTGGCTGCTGGGTACTGATGGACTGAGGAGGTGGGAGGGCTTCCCTGCTGGGCCCAATGTAGAACCAAGGTTGAGAACCTGTGCTAGGGGAGGGCCTGCTCAGAGGCCCTATGGCACGGGACTTATCATCTGAACTTGAGGGGGCCAAGGACCTGCAGACTCCCCCACCCCCATCCTATCCCATCCCATCCCCTCTTCTCCCATGTGCCATATAAAATGAAAGGACACAAAAAGAGGGGAAGGAATGAACACACTTTAAAGGTTTTGCATGCCTGTTTGCAATATGCTCACCTGCCAGTGCTGAGGGAGGACTAAAAGGGAAGTCCTAGAAGTTAGAATTGTAACTTGAGAGGTCTTTTGGCCATACTCTGACTGCTCTAAGAAGAACTCAGAGCTGCCATTAGGCGTGGAATTTTGGACCTAAAAAGAACCAAACCAAACCTGCAGTTGTTTCCTTCTCTTCTGACACCAGGCCCAAGACGCAGGGTCCTGGGCAGACCACCCAGATAGGGTTATGTCGCCCTCTGGTGGCAAGGCGTGAGTACAGCTCCCATTCTCCACTTCGAAAAACTCCCCACCAAATCGCCTCTCCCCTTTGAATCGGGAAAATGTTTTAGGACAGAGAACCTGCCACATAAGGTGCAACAAATGCCGTATAGCTGTATACCCAATCCTGGCAGGGTGCCTTGATCCCTGCATTTCATACCGAGCACAGGAGTCAGGTCAGTGCAGTGATTATGAGCTTGGCCTATGAAACCATGAAGAGAAGCCAGCTCCTCCAGGACTCCTCCCGGGGCCTTAGGAAAGTCACTAAAGCTCAGTCTCTTCATCTGCACAATGGGGATAATACAGGACCTAACTTAGAGGGTTTGTGAAGATTAGAGGGGCTAACCAGGAAAATAACTATGTCTGAATTCCAGGAAGGTCCCCAGGCAAGCCAGCAGTATTAAAGGTCTGGGTTTTCCCTTGAGCAAATATGACCCCCCCACTTCACCCCTCCACCCCATTTAGACACTAACAGGTCATGCTTCTCTCTCTGCTTTGGCTGCTGGGGCTCAAAGCCAACTTAGGAATTCCTCACAGCACTCTGATAGGGCTTCATGACTTAAATTGAGTGTCTTTTCCTTGGTATTGACATTCTACTCTGATTTGTTCTAGGTCCTCACTTCTTTATATTTCACTGTTTTAGTTATTTCCTCTAAGTCTCCTCAAATCTTTTCCAGAGTAAGATAGGATGTAAACAAATAAGGCTTACTGGGGACTTTACAAGTTTTGTTCTTCACACATATGTATATGCTGAGCTAGTTCAGCACATTTTCAAATGCGATCATCTTTGATTAAGACAAATGTTCTAATTCAGAAGGTTTGGGATAGGCCCCAAGAATCTATAGTTAAAAGTTTCCCAGCTGCTTGTGAGGCAGCCAGACCAGCCCCTAGCCATGGAGTAGTGTTTGAGACTGTTTGGCCTGAAAACATAAAAAAGGAGGTCATTGGTTATAACAATGAATGCCAAATTTCTTTACAAAACATTCTAAATAAAATAAATCTCAACTTTATTCAACTGATGTGTTTCAAAAACAATGGGTTTAAGTCCAAATTTTCAAATCAAACCCATTTAAATTCATTAGGGCAGAGGACTTAGGAAAAAACCCCAGCAATGAAGCCTATAAAAAATCAAAACTCTCCTACTTACTTGGTCTTTGAGTTTGGCTTTTCTTAAGGTGGTCACAAGTAAATTCCATGGGAAGAAGATATTCCCAAGTTCCGTGACAACCCACCCATCTTAAATCACAATGGGCAAACCTTGTACCAAAATCTTGTACAAGGTCACAGAGGCTGTCAACTGGAGATTCTTGTACCAGCTCAACCTGATAATTCATTCACCCCGACTCCACTAGGTGGTGCTCCTTCCCTGGCCTAGGACCCTTCCTTACACTGTTCAAACAGAAGCCAAGGTGTTTCTCACACACACACTGTGGCTGCTGTTCCATAGTCCAAGATGGTAAAGACCCACAAAATGCCTCCACAATTTTTATTACAAAGTACAGAGAATGGCTCTGGAGGTGGGGGAAGGCCTTATTCCTGGTTCATCAAGGCCAGCAATCACTATAAAGGCAAGTGTGGAAATATAGTGATGTACACTACAAATAGATGTCACATCAGCCAATGGAGGATGGGGTGAGGAACTTTTGGTTTCCCAGAGTTCAAGTCCAAATGGCTGAGCTCCTCCTTGTGCACCCTCCTCCAAAGTGCACTGCCTGGCAAGATAACTCTGAATGCCCAGCGGATAGGACAGGTAGGTCTTTGCAATTCAAAAAGCCCTTTTATGGACTGCTAAGAGCTCTGTGCTGGGTCCCACGGATGCCAACAGTGCTGGGTGTGAGGGAAATTTCAAACTGTACCTCCCCAAAGTTAGATCTAGGTCCGAAGACATCTCAACCCCCCTCTCTACCCTCCAGGCTACCGTTTTCATTCTGTCAGGACCCTCAATCCTTTTATGAAGAGGTCATGGATTCCCCCTTCTTTGGAAACCCAGGGCCCAGAGCAATAGAGATCCCACCAAAAGTGTGAAATTAGTACCCAGGAAACTCACTTTAAAAATCCAAGACTATTAAAAAACACTTACCAAAAGAGGATCTATGTCACAGATGTTGCTTAAAAGACCAATACTGCTACAGAAACAGGTGGTAGGTGAATAAGGGAGGTAGAACACACACAGATAACGGAAAGAAGACAGTCCAAGTAACAAGAAATAAAGACAGATGGTGGGGCAAGACAATCAAAGGTGGGGGTAATACTGACCAGGAAATTTTGAAATTTCTGGGAAATTTTGAGTGCTATTTTGTGTCTTGCCATAAGGCTACTAAGCATAGGGCTGAAAGGGCCTGTGACTGATGAAAAAATATGCTAACCAGGTCCTTCTGGCACTTTCAGCAATTAATCATAAGACAGACTGGCTTTACAGTAAATTCCACAATACACCAGGTAGTGTACAGTCTTAATCCAGGGCTGGTCAGAGGAGGAAGAAGGTCCTGGTCCCTGAAAAGAGAGTCTCACAAGGACACCAGAGACAGTTTTAAAGTGGCATCTGCCCATGCTGGCTGGGTAGAATGGGGGCTTGGCTGGCAGTTGCTAATATAATTCAAGGGAAGGGAAGAGAGCCAAAGAATTAGAGATGCTAAAACTAGAGATGAGACTATAATTGACAAATCACTAACCTTTGCTCACAGCTACTGCCTAAGGGGTAAAGGCCCAACAAAGCCTGGGCATGGGTGCCAGGCTGCAGTCTTAGAACCTTAAAAGCCAACTATTCTATTAACTATCCCCCCAAAATAAGTACGGTCTTTAGTCTCAAGACTGAACATGCCCAGAGAATAATAGTGGCCTCAGTTTAGGAAGGAGAAACACCCAACAGCTGTAATGTGGAAAATCTTACTTGTTAGCAACAGCACCAATGCCTATTTCCTCTAGGTAGCTGCTTCCAGGGAAGGGTGGCAAGTATGGGCAGTCAGTCATCTGCATGTCACTTTGGGGGTGGGGAAGGCGGCTGGCAGCAAGAGCATGTGAACCCATTTACTATGATGTGCGCAGGAAAACAACACCTCTTTCACCTCCTTCTCTTTGCTTCTGCTCCAGCCTATCCACTGAGAGCCAGACAGGCTGGATGATGACAAAGTGTAGACAGTCCTGTCTACACTAAGCGGCACCGTGAAAGCCTTCCTGGGGCGCGCGTTATGTACGTGGACAAAACCACCAAAGCCATTGCTTTCCTTTCCCTTCCTTCTTCATCCCTTCCTCCCCCAGTGAGAGTGAGAGAGAGAGAGAGAACAGGTACTTCTTTCATTTCCTACACACCGTGAATCTTGGTAGAACTAGATTCCCCTCCAAGATGCCATGAAAAACAGAGCACGTTTGAAACTCTCACTAGGTTACAGATCACAATTACTTCTGAGTGGTTTTCACAGTTCAGACAGACATACATTTCAAAACATGGCCTCTGGGCTCCCCTTTCACGCACACACTCACACACGCTCATGCTGTGGGAACGTTGTCCAGCTGCTGGGCTTAGCTGGCTCATGTCATGTACTGCACCACGAGGAACATGACCACACAGGTGAGCAGCATCCCACCGATCATAAAGTACTTGTCCTGGAAAGCCCGCTTCTCGATGAGCCGCATCACTGTGTTGGACAAGCCCAGCATGTTGGCAATGTCAAGGATCCTCTTTTGAGTCCCCTGGGGCAAACAAGAAGAGAAAGAAAAACAAAGGTGGGCGAACGTCATTATGAGATAGGGATTTACCAACAAGAGTCTCTTGGTCATGCCTGAAGCATATACAAAGCAGCATCAACCAGAAAAAGATCATGCTCATATGGTCAAATGACTTTTGATCAAGGTACCAGAGTAATACAAGGGGGAAAGAAAAGTCTTTCCCACCAATGTGCTGGAACAACTGGTTATATAATAAATATCACACGTATGTATCACACACACAAAGATATCTTGTATAAATCATAAATAAGTTTATATATATATGCATATATATTTATATGTGTAAAAAATGACCCTCAATTCATATTATATAAAAATCTTAACTTGGGTTACAGAATTAGACATAAAAGCTAAAAACTATAATAAAGCTTCTAGAAGAAAACATAGGAGACTATCTGAAAAGAACCCAGGTGTCCATCCCCGAAGGATGGATAAACAACTTATGATCCATTTGACGATGGGATACTGCTTGGCAATAAAAAGGACCTCATTACCAACATGTAACAGTATGAATGAGCCTAGAAAACATTCCCGTGAGGAAGAAGCCACACACCAAATAGTAACATGAATACATTTATATGAAGTTCAATAACAAGCAAAATAAATTTATGGTGGAATAAATCAGAATAGTGGTTGTCTGGGAAGAGGGCCAGACTGACTCGAAAAGGGCACCAGGGATCTTTCAGGGATGATGAAAATGGTCTATGCCTTGGTACAGTGTAAGTTACAAAGGTGCATGCACTTGTCAAAATTCAATGACCAATGTCAAATAAGATTTGTATACCTCCCTATATGTACATAATACCTCAATAAAAATTTTAAAATTAGAATATTTTATATTGAAACATCTCTGCTCCCTAGCTCCAAAATCCCTGCTACCAGGATTCCGCTGAGTAAAATGTGCTTCGGTGTCCAGGTTTACGAGGTTTGAAGTGGACAAGATGGAACGACAGAAACACAACTGACAGACACTAACACAATGACATAAAAACAGAACCCCTTATACAAATATCACTACCCACCACCAAAAACAGGTTTTTATTTATAAATCAATAGCCCAAACCACCCAGCCTGCCCTTCCTCTCTGCTAATTTTCATTTTTAATCCCATCCAAATTCCTACAAAGTAACAAATATACATAAATGCCGGGCAGACCTCAAGTTACTTCACACACATCACCAACTGCATATGTACCGACGGCTTCTAACCTACTGCCCGCATCCATTTTTTAAATGAACAACAAATTAGAAAGCAACTAAGAGAAGAGGCAAGAAAAGCAAGAATGACATGAGGCACCCTGGACAGGAATTCAGACCTACGTTCTGCCCAGACAATGATTTCAAAGCCTCACAGAGAGATCTCACACGTCAAACTTGATTATTGCCAGAGGAGACCAGAGACATATTTTTCTACAACAGTGATGATAAATATTAGACACTCACTAAGATTGTGCTCAGCTCTGGGAGTGCAGAATATTTCCTCACTGTTTGAAGTTCAAGTATCAAGCTTCTAAAATCACTTAAAAATTACCATAAATTTCAAAAAATATATATATTTTCAACCAGGAATTCCCCAGATCATGGCCCAGCTTCTTCGTGTTCTCTCCCATGTTACTTTCAAATAGTTAAAGCCAAAAACTTCCCTTACAGAGATGGGGTGGGAGGCAGGTGGAAGAAATCAGGTGGCAGAAGGCAGGTGGTAGTGGGTACGTGGAGGAAACAGGACTAGAAACCGCATTCCCACCTCCGACCCCTCATCAGGCCTCCTGGCATTTCACTCCGGTGACCGTGCAGGGGCAGGAGTTACTTGCACTCCCCAGTGATTCCAGATTGCAGTAGGAAGCCAACATTTGCTTTAACAATAAGCTCTAACCGCTGCTGGTTGACATTAGTGTGACATGGTGAGCCCTGTCCTAAAAGGGTTTTACTGTTTTTCTGAGATATGGGAATGAGGCCAGGCATTTTCTACAGAAAGGGTGGATTAACCACCATGTATCAGTTTAGATTACTGCAGGTGGCTGTTCTGAAAGGGGGGCACCCGAGAAGCTGTCAGAGACCACCCTTCAGGCCATCTAAAGCACCACAGCCGTCAGCAGGAGGTAAAGTGTCACTTGTGGCTCATCTGACCTTCTCCCTGCTAAAGGTGGCAGAAATGTGCTGAAGTCCTGCAGAGCTGACCGCCTCAACATGGTCCAACAAAAACTAAGATAAGCTGCTGCTTCCGAGTGACCGTTTCTCACAGCTCAGTGGCTGGGAGTGCTGCGTTCACAGGGAACCACACCCTGATAATAGGCACAGTCCACACCCCCTTATCCACCAGAGTTGATACAGGAAAAGGGCTGAGGCTAAAACATCACGACTGACATCAGAGTCTGTGTAATGTTTCTATAAACTACTCCCAGGGGGCTTGGAGTCTCAGCCAATGAGGCAGGGCTCCTAGCAATACCTGGGGCTACAGAGTGAGTGAGGAGTTGCTGGGGATCACCAGCATGTGCTCTAGAAGCTATCTGCTGCTAAATAACCAAGGCATCCCTGAGACCCCGCCCCTGGGGTTCAGTTACTACAGTTCAAAGAGGTCTCGGTTATAATGCAGCCCACTGGAGAGGCTCTTACCAGAAAAGGCCTGAGAGGGAGGTGCTAAAGTAGCCACATCTTCCTTCTTATGAGAGCGGAGTCAATAATAGAACCTCTTAGTCTATTATTGGTTCCCCTTAGAGCAGCAGTCACTTCAGTAAGTGGGACAAGACATGGATACCAACAGATGCCACATTATATGATTCATTGCAAGCATAAGAAATACCTACTGGCAAAGGGAATTGGGTTACTGTTAGACTTGTAATAATTCGACACCAAAGGAAGGATCCCCAACTAAAGGGCTCTGTCTCACCATCACAGTATCACAATTTGGGGATATGTCATCAAATTATAAATGCAGGTACCAAACTATTGGGTGAGGCCAAAACAAGAGGCCTTCTCCCTGTCCCCCAGAAGGGCCCCCACCTTCAAGGTCAGTCTCTGGGCCCTCAGTCCCTCCAGAATACTGTGCCCGCCTCCAATGAGGTCATCCATGCCGTGGTGGATTTTCTGGAGGGAGGAGTTAAACTGCAGTGATTCATCCATTGGTATGGTGGTGTCAGAGTCCTGTGAAAGAAACGCAGGCACTTGATTAACTTTCCCTGCTGGTCAGCTCCTGAGGTCCCACCGCAGCTCACAGTTCTGCCTCTTAGCCAAGGCCAAGCCAGAACAGCCAGAGGGAATGGACAAGAATCAGAGGAACCTAATAGAGAAGAAAAGGCAAAGCACAGATCTGGGGTAGCCTCTGTTCACTTTCCTCAGACTCCCACCACACAAGCCTTGTTAATTCCTGCCTCTTATCCTTGCTCCCACTTAGGGAAAACTCTGTTCTTTCAAGACCTCAATGGGCTTCTCTCAAAGTCTTTCTCTGACTGCTCACTAACCTGGCTTGTTCCAAATGTTCCTTTACTTGGCTTCCCCTTAATTCAGCATTAAATGTTTGCTTTTGTTCTTTAGCTATTTTACCTATAGCTTATGCCTCTAATTAAACTGAGACTGACTAGAGAGAGAAGAGACAGTGCTTTGATGGCCAAACGACGGTCAGATGGGACTAGTCTCCTGAGCAGGCAAGAAAAATCTGCACAAAAGGGGAAACAAAAACTAATATTGATCAAGTACTTTCCACTGGCGTGCTCATTACCCTAAGCTCACTTAACCCTCACCCTAAACTTATGAGTTAGTTAATGTATCATCCCCATTTAGAGATGGGGAAACTGAAGCCCAGACAGGTGGGATAACTTGTTCGCGACCTCACAAAGCTGGGAGGAAGTCGAGCAGGGCATGAGTCCAGTACTGAGTGCACAGCCTGCTCTTAGCCAGCTTGTCAGGAGAAACATCAAGACCAATCCTAGGCTCTAAATTTACACAGAAAGTGAACTGTACACAAAAGCAAGTCATGACCAGCTGTAATACTGTTCTCTTTCCTGCCTCATGAAAATCACAAACTCTTCTGCCAATCAGGGCCATTCTTACTACTCCCCCCCCCCCC